GAAACTGCTGGTCCGTCATTGTTGCCATAATCCTGATCGCCACTGTTACGTCTGTGAGCCGCTGGTAGACGGTTGATAGTCCGGTATATCAGGAAGGTTTATTGGTCGAATCGGCTGAGACGAAGTGATGAGAGAGAAAAGTAGTCACCAATTGATTACTGGGTTTATATACTGTGTTTACACCTTGTAAGTCGTATCAGCGTACAGTGATCTCAGTAATCTGTGGATACCTAACCACATGAATGACGAAAAAAGGTATTATCAATGAGCAAAAGTAGATAAAAGTTCGGATAGTTTAGAAATTCGTCCCAGGATGGTGAGGTCTGAGCTCAAGCAGTCTCGGACCGTGCTGACGGACGTCTTCTCGAGCTTCTCCTTCGCGTTGAAGCCATGTCTTGAATGAATGGGATGAGCCATCAGGAAAATATATAGAGCTGTTAGACAATTATCTTCAATATCGATTCCAGCCGTTCTAATGTTCTTAAATATAGCGGCTTTCTTCTACTTAAGCTCTGAGGATCACCTTTACCATGTATCGCCCAGAGGATCATTTGTTCTCTTGCAACGGGTCTGCTTTTCCTTTTCGAGAGGCCATGGTGCGAGTAAGACATCCTTTATCAAAATTCATGGGAGACATAATTTCTTTCGCTAAAAGCTTAACAGCTCTGTTGTCAAGTGTACAAAATGTATCTAAAGAACCGTTAACCGTGCCCTATACAAGTGATAATCCATTCCTCGGCACGCTCGGTACTGTCTCTGATTAACAATCCCTCTGCAATTTCTGGCAAAGAACAACTCCGAGTTCCGTCTAGTATTTTCCGAGGGCCTCAGATGGTACATCATCCAACCCCATCTCCTCCCCAACGTCATTTTTGACTGTATCGTGATAAACCTCGTCTAGTTTCTATAGTGAATAGACAACACTTCTGTTAGTGATCCGCTCCTGCGTGGGTGCCCTCATCGAGGAGCCTACTACAATACTCTCTCCTAGTTTGGCCTTCAAGGTGACGCTACCCCTGTTCTTTGCAGCCTCAAATGCGATGAAAAATGAAGTGTTTGCCGTTAATCAGCCCCGCCATAATGGAATGGCNCCCCCCCTTTCCATTCCCCTCTCCTTCCACCATTCGATTTCTCCAGTATCGCCCAGAATCGTAGTGGCGGTTTGAATACACGTGTGGCCTATACAATGGCTGACTGTGGCAGCCGATGTACGAGTCAACGCTTATATACTCCCAGACGAATCTGTTACCAATTAACCCCCTGGAGGGATGGAAGGCCTGGTTGGCCCAAACGAGTATCATGCCGGGATTCGTATCTCAGCCATGCCTGGTGGTGCACCACTTGGCGCTACACCCTGTCCCACGTTACCTTAGCTCTCAAACTCGGAAGGCTCGACTGGAATACGGCAAATAAAAGATTTTCTCCTCTTCTCAGTTTCTGGATTTCTGGTCAAGGCAGAGAATCGCTGGTCCTAGTTTTTGTTACTGCCTTTATGACTTTGGTAAACTGTCTGGTCTTCTGAGTTTTTGTATTTTCTAAAACTTTCTTCTTCCACTTGAAATTCCTTTCTCCAGACTATCTTTTCTTCCTTGATTACGTTTAGCTTCGTATCTAATATTTTTTACACCATGGAGTAACGTCAGTCTCTCCAGTCCCCGTGTGGGACACTTGACTGCCACGCGGTGAATAAAAATGGTTTATTTCAGTGTACGAAAGACGTTCCAGAGAATGAATTAGAGTAGACGTCCGAGCAGGAGTGAAACACAGAAGGCGAAGGTTATAGGTCGTGAAGTGTGAAGTCTTGCTTTGTGAAGTACGTCGAGAGTTGAGGCGAGTATTGCGTCGGGAATGGAGCCAAGGATTGCGTCGGGAATGGAGCCAAGGATTGAGTCGAGCAGCTACGTTGAAGATTGAGTCGTATTGAATCTACCATCCCTGAATCTGCCTTACATGAGCTTTATATACGGACATGTTACGTGCCTTTTGAAGCTAAGAGATCTTTCTCTGTAAACATAAGTATCTCCGATGAATCTATGTTTTGGAATGAAGGTTTCACAAGCGGCTACGCGAATCGGAGCTACAAAGGAATGTAAACCTACCGTATACTCGCCTGGGAAAATGAGAAAAGTCGCAATTTGCGACACCCCGTCACTGGTTTGAACATCTGGCAAAACGCCCTCCAAAGGCTCAAGATTCTTTTCGCTTATGAAGCTCCCTGCAGAATTTTCCTCTTTTTCCTTGTAATTGCTCTCCTACGGGGCACCTGTGGAATTCATCTTGCAGTAAATCCATGATACTCGCTATTTGGGAAAGTATTCTTCTCACGAGTAAATGATCCACTTCTGTTCGCTTTCCTCTAATGCTCTGTGTTATTCGTTTTGATTTGGACTTATCCCGCGTCCATTTGAATGAAGTTGCACCACGTAGCCTTGTTGGTCTCGAGATTTTCCAGTGGAAGCGATGCGCTCCTTCTTACCCGCGACTGCAGCTAACATATAGATTTCGTGGTCCAACGCTGCCTTTTTTTGAGCCAATGGACGGATTTTCACTACTTGACTGAAGCTGTAGGTGCTCATTCAATCATGAGCTCAACTATGTCCAAAAATCCTTTCGAGCAGCTGTTCATCCAGTGATCAATCCGACAACAATGGAGATGCTAATGGCGGTCATATTTTCAAAATATTTCACTTTTTGGAGTATTCCAATGAACAAAGCATGAAATACGGAAGGAACGTCTGTATTAATGAGACACTAGTTTCTTTCAGAAAAAGAAGTCCTTTCAAGCAGTACATTTTTCGCGTATGGTATTATAGTTTGGTATCAAATTCAAAAATAAAAGATCATCTGTGTAGCATCACTTTATCCTGATTTGGTGAGAAAAAAAGTGACAAAAATGGAAGAACAGTTGAACAAAATAAAAAAAAATGTAGCCCACACGTGGACTGCATAGTCCCACGTGGTCATGGACTAGGTTTATCGTCATCGCCCGATTAGTAGATTGTCCAACTTCCCATCTGCCTGAGTTGTTTATTTATTCGGTGGGTAGTAGGGGCGAACATCGTCGTCACAGACCTGCTTATTACCAAACTCACTTTGAATTATAGGAGACTTTTCATATAAGTTGGTTTGCGTACGAGGCATCAAGCCATCAACGTACTCAAGTGTTCATACAGATCTGACCATAAGTTTGAGCCGCTGGGGCAACTCAATGAGGTTGGCGATAACAAAGCAACTTTATCAATTTAGAAGTCCCATCAGCTTAGTATCGGTGGTATACACGTCATTCACGAAAATTCTGCTCAATCGCATGGAACGCATCTTGGACGCATACCAGCCAATAGAGCAGACCAAATTCAGGAAAAAATTCTCGTGCATGGACANCATCCACGCAGTCAGCCAGCTTATTGAGAGAAGCCGGGAGTATCTCCTTCTTTCGGCCCTTCTTTTCGTGGATTACAATAAAGCGTTCGACTCTGTGGAGAAACGTTGTTTTAAATGCTCTTGTGCAAAGCTGGAGTTTATCCCGCCTACGTCCACCTGCTCGAAGAGTGCCATTCATCCAGGTGTTCGAGCGAAAGCTGAAGATTCCAGTTGGAAAGGGGGTGCGACAAAGAGATACCATATCCATATGAATTGTATGAAGGGTTGTTCAACCGAATTCCTCAGTTTGACTGCTTCGGACACCATGCGATACTTTTCATCGACATTGTTTTGAATATGTAAAATGGTGCAAGTTATGTTAGCACCGTAAGCGTTCGAACAAAATAACCACTGCAAACTTTATTAGGGTCAAAGGGTGATGGGCTAACATATTATTACTGAATGAGAACGTAAATAAAGGGAGGCAAAGGCGAAATACATCGGTGTAAGTAGGCACAAATTTTGTGCGGGTAGCGCGACATACAGTGTAGTTGACTTACAATTATGGAATGGTCACATTATCCTTCATTACAATTAGGATATTCATAAAACTTGAATTCTATGAAGCTATTTCCTTTTTGATTCGGAAACGCTTGTTACTGGTGACGTTTCGTCTTCCCAATCCCAATGCTCGTGCATTCGAATCTTTTTCTCTTCACGAAGCTGAATTAGGCTCATATCGAGTTTCATTCGTTTCGATTGAAATAAGCTGTTGACATACTCCGTCGAGTAGACTATAAAATCTGGAGTAAGGAGGAGTGTCCTCAAATACCAAAGCATCAATCCATGTGAGTAGCATATTGTACTGAGGTGGTGTGTCACTGAGAAAATTCACTCGGGCTTCACCTTCACGTGCAGCCGTTTTGGCTGCATACACCTGCGTACGATCTGAAATGAAAGATTCCCTTCGAAAGCTTTTATTATGTCAATTTTCGGATGTTTGAAGATCAGCTACTGGAAGAAAATCCACTGAACTCAATCTACCACCTTTGAAAATCTGGTCTATCAGCTCCAGCTACTCACTCGCCAAACTGTAGTTAGTGGCATGGGACGCATGACGAATAAGAGCAGGCAGTGGGCATGGACAGTGCGGGCGGAAGGGCGATGCCCTGCTCTCTACGGTATTCTCTCTTTCAAGCTAGAGTCTCCTGTTTGTCGACTGGCAGTCTTAATGATTTGGACTTTCAAGTAGTCAATGGTTTAATAGCTTACTAGCGGTCAGGTGAATTTAGTCATTAGTCACAAATGATATGTCACAAAACAAAAAAGAATCGTGGCGCTTCATTGTGTCACAAAGCTTACTGCGTAACGGTCGTAGTTTAATAGTAAGAAATGAACAATATTCTCATTTCGTTATGGAGGAATGTCTTCGATCGGTCGCTATTACTGCATTTAAACGTCTTATTGAATGGACCATTTTAAAGAGTCAGTGTTTGTTCATGAATTCCCTGTTGCTCTATAAGGCCCCTTATCAGTTCTTATCAGTTGTTATCAGTTCCTGTCACAGAGTACCTACGACCACGACACATCCTACATTGCCGTCATTGAAAAGGTTCCACTGTTAACAACGAAGGGGATTGCAGCGCTTGCTCGCTTGTTATTTTGTTATTATTATGAGTAATGAATTTGCAACCTAAAATTTCTATCGCGCATGCCCCGCCCCCTGTAGGCGGAGTTCGATCTTGCCACCTGACATAAGTGTTCCCATGCCGCTCCCTGTACCCCTACCAATTTTGAACGCTTTGGGTCTACTGGAATAGGAGTTATGAATTCGCGGCCCAAAATTTCTAACGCGCACGCCGCGCTTCCTGTAAACGGAGTCTGGTCCTGCCACTTACCGCAGGTGTTCCCATGCTGCCGCCCCCCCTTACTCATACCAAATTTGAGCTTTCTAGGTCTACGGAACAGGAGTTATGAATTTCCGGTCAAACACACACACACCGACACACACACACACCGACACACACACACACACCGACACACACACAC